GGTAGTTCAAACCCACAAGCATCTCCTTGAAAATCCTATGCAGGGTTGCTATGAGTCAGAACTAACTCAACAGCTCTTACCAATAATATATATATACATATGTACATACATATATACATACATAAACACACACACATACACACATATATACACAAAAGGATTCCAGGAAGTTCATGGAAAAATTCCATTACCTTTTTATTCCATTTTTCCATGAACTTTTTGAATCCACCCCGGTTGTGCAGTAGCTACTAACCAAAAGCTGATGGAATCCATCAGCTGCCCTGAAGAAAAAAGATATGGCCGTCTGTTTCCATAAAGATGACTGTTATTGTTGTTAAGTGCTATTGAGTCAGTACCAACCCAGAGTAACCCTGCATAGGGTTTTCTAGGAGTGGCTAGTGAGCTTGAACCACCTACCTTGCAGTTCAAGCCAACTTTCCATCCAGCTCATTAACCCACAGCGCCACACCAAGGACCGCCTTGGAAACAGCCTTGGGCAGTCTACTCTATCCTACAGGGTCACTAATGAGTCAGAACTGACTGACCGGCAGTACACCTGGTTTTCCATCTATGTGTGTAATATGTATGTATATGCATGTGTACATGTATGTGAGTCCTGGTGTGACACTGTAGGATAAGCACTGGACTGCTAACCTAAAGGTGAGCAGTCACTCATAGTTACTCCTCATACAGGGTCGCTATGAGTTGGAACTGACTCAACAGCACTTAACTGTGTGTGTGTGTGTGTGTGTATTATATGTGTGTGTATGTGTGTGTGTAGGGGAGTCCTAGTGTGCCTTTGTAGGATAAGTACTAGACTGCTAACCAAAAGGCAGACAATTAAAACCCACCAACCACTCCTATACAGGATCGCTGTAAGTCAGAACTGACTTGATGGCACATAACTGTATTCATATACATACGTACATACACACACACGGAGCACTGGTGTGGCGCTGTGGGTTAATGTGCTGGACTGCAAACTCAGTTTGAACCACAAGGTCGGTGGTTCAAGCTCACCAGCTGCTCCTAGGAAACCCTATACAACATCACTATGGGTCAGAACTGACTCAACAGCACTTAACAACAACAACAACAATATACACATGGTGGTGCTGCTGATTGTGTGCCCTTGAGTTGGTTCTGACTCAGAGCAACCCTGTATAGGGTTTCTGAGGCAGTACATCTTTACGGGAGCAGAAAGTTGCATCTTTCTCATGCAGAACAACTGGTAGATTCAAACTGCTGACCTTGCACTTAGCAGCCCAACTTGTAACCCACTACACTCCCAGGGCCCCTTCTATACATGCATATATGTATGTAACTACATCTCTAGATACATATATGTGTGAATGTATAAAGAGGAGTCCTAGTGTAGCACTGTAGGATAAGCACTGGACTACTAACATCAAGGTCAGGGGTTCACACTTACCAGGTGTTCCTCAGAAACCTGACTACATGGCACTTAACAACATGTATATATGTGTGTGCATATATAATACATGTGAAAGCCAGAACCTGTGTAACACAGAAACCTGTGAGAGAAGGAAACCTCAAATATTTTTCACTACAATGAACATTTATTGTTGTTAAGTGCCATCGAATCAGTTTCGACTCACAGAGATCCTGTATAGGATTTCTAAGGTTGGCGGTTCAAGAAGCAGCTAGTGAGCTTAAATCTCCAACCTTATGATTCAAACTGACTTTGAAATCCAGTGCTTTAACCTGCAACGCCACATCAGGGCTCCACAACAAACGATAGAAAAATGTTACTACTACACCATGTTAGAGGCAAAAAATTTATGAAACTGGGAAAACCAAGGGAATCCCAGTGAATCTTAACAGTAAATGTTCATAGTAAGATACATGGTATGTATAGGAGCCCTGGTGCGGCACAGTGGGATAAAGCACTGGACCACAAGGTCAGTCTGAACCACAAGGTCGGCAGTTCAAACTCACCAGCTGCTTGCTCCTTGGAAATGCTATACAGGGTTGCTATGAATCAGAAGTGACCCAACGGCACTCAACAACTTATGTGGCAAGACCATTCGGATAGATTAATCAGCATTCTTATCAATTAATCACGATACTTACCCTAACTGGCTTAAACAAGATGAATTCAGTATCTTTATTGGAGAGGTACAATGACATACTTCTCAATGTCAAAGGCATCTTTTCTTTTATTGTCTTATAGGCACCTGCCACAAGGTCACTGACCTTTGCTGAAAAGAAATTAACCTTGTCAATGTCACAAAGAAAAGGAGGAGAAGCATTTCCATTTTAATTCAGGAGAGAAATATTACAAAAGAAGGACTCTTTATTTCCCCAAAGAGCTGCCTTCATTTTTCTCGTTTATTTATCAGTGGTAATCATAAGCCTTATTACATTCATTATATATCTACTATGTATAAAATGTTACTCCCAAGGGCTAAGGCAGCTTCAGGACATTCATAGGGGCTGTACTATGGGGCCTTTAGAATTTAAGACAACAGATAAGGTTTTTGGTTTTGTTTATTTTTTCTTTCTTTTCAGTAATTTTCAGAGAGATGCTAATAAGAACTACTTCATAATGAACGAGCTTACTCATTTGCAGAACTGATCCACACACACTAAGAGATGCTCTCTAAGATGCTTGCTGAGATGGTTAGAAAATAAGCACACACAGCTAAGAGGACTAAATGTCCATCTGTTACTTTCTTACACTGTATCAGCAGAAAGAGAACAAAATTCCAGACATTTTAAACAAACAACTGTGTGCCCCAGGTGTAGTGTCTGAGATAGTTACATGGAAGAGCAATCAGTATTTAAAATGAAAGGCTGATTGCTCAATTCAAAGATGCTTGACCTCATTCATAATTAAAGGAAGGTGAATTAAACAATGAGCCATCTTAAGATTGGCATAAATAATCAATACTAGAGATATCTGTGCTTGCAAGAGTGTGGGGAAACAGGTACCCTCACCCACCACTGATGGGAAGATAACTGGCCCACCCTCTTGGGAGGAAGATTAGGCATTATCAAGCAATATTTTAAATATGTGTATTTTTTCACACTTAACATTTCCGTGACTAGAATTTACCCTATGGATGTGCTCACAGTATACCAAGATATGTATGTATAGAAAGCATGCAGGAAAATGAAAATATTTAAAAGGTCACCTAACAAGATAATGATTAAAAGAAATCAAAATACAGTAACAATTTAATTCTATGCCTCTACTAAATAAACTGGGTAGGGGTAGAGCTAGATACACCAATACAGAAAGAGTTCTATGAGATGTAAGTGAAAGAAGCAAGGCGTAGGTACAGTCTCTTTCTGTCCATATATGCTAGTGTGTGCACACACATTTTGGGAAAGAAACTGTTACTAGCCATTCCCTTTAAGAACAGGACTCATTTGGAGGTGGAGAATAAGACTTTATTTTTCATTTTACACCTCTCCACAGTTCTCATGTTGTACCACACAAATGATTGCTTTGCTTTTGAATGAAGAAGATGTGGTAAAAGCAGGGTTGGAAGTACCAATGCTCTCAAGAAAAGAGAACAATCCTGGAATTGTTTGTGGAATGAACTGGAATTGCTTATCTTCGACACAATATATGAAAGCTCCTCTCCAAGACACTTCAATTCCATGGGCTCTAGATTTCTATCATCACTAAACACATTTCCAGGAATACTAAATGCATTTTTAGACCCCTTGAAAATCAGAAAGCTATAGTCATCAAGTCCTTGGATTCCTACAAAGCTAGACTCCCAAGAGTGAATTAACAAATTGGTATTCTAATTGATAACTTGCTCCATTTTTGAGTTTATCATGAGATGCAGACTGAAAAACTGATCAAGTCTGCAGGCACCAGGAACACTGAGTTTCGAGACCAGAGACACCAAAGACAACCTCCAGCTTGTCTTTGATGCTCCATACCAGAAGCCAATCACTCTCAGATCAAGACACTAACTCCACCTCCACACAGCAACTGAACTGTCCTTGCTGTATCCACCAAGATCTCTTAGAAAGAAATAAAAAGAGCTCAATTATAAAACACATAGCCCTGTTTCAATCTGCATCTCAAATCCTTTTGTGAGTTTCCTTTCACCTCCTCCAGTTTTCTTAATGACAATTCTCCTAACGCTTAAGAATACTGAGAATTCTACTAGGACCCCACTGGAGAAACTGACAGGCCCTATTTTGAAGTAAAGGGGGAAAGAGTAATCCATCAAGCATGAACCAAGTCCTCAGGTTTAGAAGTACTAAATAAATATGCCTCTGCCTATCTGCTGGATTCTACCTAAGAAAAGTTTATTGCACCCAAGAGTTTCACTTACATAAACATACAAAATAAATACCAATTCCTATTTCTAAAGAAACCTTACCCACGATTAAAACCTTGTACCTAGGCTCCTATGACATCCAACTATCATCCCCCTTGAAGCAGCATGCTGAATGAGGTAAGGTTGGAAAGCCTGCTTCCTGACTGTGAGGAGAGCTGAGGAGGTGGTTAGCAATAGGGGAGACCAAGGTTACACTTTCCAGAGTTCTCAGTAAAGACTGGATTGCATCAAGTACACTCACTGTCTTTTAGGAAGATGAGGTCAACATTTCAATCTCAGAAAGTGACTCCTTTACTGACAAACTGATTTAGATTCATGGTGGTCCCATGTGTTACAGAGAAGAAGTGCTCTATCAGGTTTTCTTGGTAGTCCTGGTCCTGGTGTAGCGCTGTAGGATGAGCACTGGACTGCAAATCGCAAGACTGGCGGTTCAAGCTCACCAGCCACTCCTCGGAAATCCTATCCAGGGTCACTATGAGTCAGAACTGACTGGAGGCACTGAATGCCTGCCAGGCCTTCCTGCCACAGAGCTCTGGCTCGGCTCAAACAGCCTTAAGGCTGACAGGTGGTCACAAACTGCTGAGTGAGTCACTCAAGTCCCTCAGCTCAGACACCAATCCAAATATTCAAAGTAATACAGACCACAGAATGTTCACTATCTCCATCACAGTAAACAAAAGGCCTATTGCACATCACAACCTTACATATCAATGCAAACTTGTACTGACCTCACCAAAACTCAGAAAACAAATCTTAGAATTGAAATTGTGTCTTCCTCTGAAACACACATGACAATTCTGTACACTTAGAAGTCCTTCTAAGAGATACAGAGCTAGTCTTTCAACTTCTTAGCTCATCATGAAATTAACCTGAGGCACTAAAGAGGATAAGGTTCTGGAGGCTTACGCTTCTGTCCTTTCTCCTACAGAAAATGAAGACCTGACAGGCACAGTTCTCTTTCAGCACAGACAATCAGGGGTAATAAAAAACTGATTTCAGATTAGCTGCCTGCAGATGCTTCTCACGAGTAGCAAAGAGCCGTCCTCCAATAAGACCAGTTCCCCCCAAGAATGAAGGCACTGATTCTGTTGTCATTCTGCCCTGAGTCTAAAGGAGCCACATCACAGAATGGCTTGTGGATGACCAGAAATGTCAATCTCACAAAATGATTTCTTCTCGCTTGATGGCACTGAAAAATGTCACAAGGTGTACCAAAAATAGCCCTATGAGTATTAATCATATTTTTTTTTAATGTTATCTTCTAATATTGCAGGGAAAAAAAAAAAAAAAACCCCAGCACAAAAATATGACATTTCAGAAAGACGAGGGCTGGGAACACCTCAACAATGATCTGCCAATCAGACAACACTGATGTCTGCCGACCTCATTAGGCACCTCAGTTCTGACAGTGTGTTTCACACACTCTACAGCATTAACAGACAGATGAGGTGACTGGTATAAAACGTGGAACACAATAATGGCCTAACATTCAATCAGCAATAGCAGCTCCATAATTTCCCATCAAACACAGGATTTTCATTACAGCGCTGCCACAATGAAAAGTCGGTGCATACAAACCAGCAGACTCTAAGTGTCTCCATCTAAGGTAGTTTTTGTTTGTTTGTTTTTTTGAATAATATATTTTTGTGCTTAAGGCAAAAGTTTACACAGCAAATTCGGTTCCCAGTTAATTATTTCTATATAAATCATTCAGTGATACTAGTTACATTTTTCACAATGTAATTTTCATTCATTCACTCTGTTGTGCCACATTTTATTTTTAACTAAGAATTTCTTTTTTAAATTCCTTCTTTGACAGGCTTGCTGAAAGGCAAGTAGTGTTGGCCAATTAAGACATATCAGCTCCAAAAAGTCTTGCATTAATCCAGACCATAGTAGTCTAGCGTGAACAGCAAACCAATCCTAAACACTCAGAGCAGAGACTACATAGTTAGTACAGATTAACCAGTATTCTAAAAGAGAAACTCAAAACAGTAAAACCTGAATACCTGCTTGTGCCCAAGGCTGCTGGGAGAGCGTATACTTGGGACCTCCCTGGCTGGCCATTGTTTTTAATGCTGATACCTGGTAGAAGAAACAAAACATAAAGTTTCTATTTCACCAATGACAGATTAAACCAGTTCTACTCTCAGAGGCTACACAGCAGCATTTGAAATTATTAGATGCAATGATAATCAAATGTGCAACTTAAAAAAAAAAAAAGAAGACATCATATCACATAGTCTTTTACAACTAATGAAAATTTTAACGCCTCTTGTGTCTTAAACATTTTTTTAAGCATATACTGCCTTCAAAAAAAAATTGTACCAATGTCCTGAGACATTCTGCCTGAAACATTACAGATTCAGAAGAAGACACATGACAAGAGCTAGAAATGCTGACATCAGATGCATTTGGGCTAAAAGATGTTTACTTGTGCTTTATGAACTATGTAGAGGTTTTTGCCTTTGTAGATCATGACAAACTATGGATATCATTGCAAAGAATGGTTATTCCAGAACACTTTAATTGGGCTCATAAGTAACCTGTATACAGACCAAGAGGCAGTTGTTCAACCAGAACAAGGAGATACTGAATAGTTTAAAATCAAGAAAGGTGTGTACCAGGGTTGTATCTTTTCACCATACTTATTCAATCTACGGACTCCTGGTGTGGCACTCCAGGTTAATGCACTGGACTGCAATTTCAGGTTGAACCGCAAGGTCAGAGGTTCAAGCTCACCATCTGCTATTCAGATTGTTGTTGTTGTTAAGTACCAGGGAGTCGGTTTCGACTCATAGTGACCCTGCACATGGTTTCCGAGGCTGTAAATCTTTACGGAAGCAGAAAGCCTCATCTTTCTCCTGCAGAACAGCTGGTAGATTCATAACCACTACACTACCAGAGCTCCTTTCAGGAACCCTATACAGGATAACTATGAGTTGGAACCGACTCAACAGCACTTTAACAACAACAGTTCTGTCTGTATACAGAATAAATAATCTGAGAAGCTGGATTATGTGAAGAAGAATGTGGCCTCAGGATTGAAGGAAGACTCATTAACAACCTATGATTATATAGCTGATACAATTTTGCTTGCTGGAAATGAAGAGGGCTTAAAATACCGATGAAGACCAAAGACCACAGAATTCAGTATGGGTTACACCTCACTATAAAGCAAACAAACATCCTCACCACTAGACCAATAAATAACATCATGATAAAAAAAGAAAAGACTTCATTTTGCTTGGATCCACAATCACACTCATGGAAGCAGCAGTCAAGAAATCAAATGAAGTATGGAAATAGACAAAACTGTTGCAAAAGACCTCTTTAAGGAGCTCAATAAAACGGGTACGCCTGACCAAAGGCATGGTATTTTTAATTGCCTCTTTTGCATGTGAAAATTAGGCAGTGAATAAACAAAACCATAGAAGAATCAGAGCATTTGATTGATGCTGGAAAAAGAATATTGAAAATACCAAGGACTGCCTGAAGAATAAACAATCTGGAGGAACAAACAAGATGGCGGATCGGGTGGACATATAGCAGAGAGCTCCGCCAACAACAACACAGAATACCCGACCAAGCAGGCTCAGGGGATGGTCCCAGAACTCTGAACCACATATAAAGGAATACTTAGAAGGTTGGAAGGCTCAC